GGACTGGGGGGACTGGGGGGACTGGGGGGACTGGGAGGACTGGGGGGACTCGGGGGACTGGGGGGACTGGGAGGACTGGGAGGACTGGGGGGACTGGGGGGACTGGGAGGACTGGGCTACAGGGAGACGCTGCAGGAAACAGCCATGAGAGGCAGCAGCAGCTATGTAAACCCTGTCATCAGCAAGTCATGCATGCATCTGAATAACAGGTCCTTCCACATTCTTCAGAGAGGGGAGAGGGGGAGGGCGGTTCTGACAGAGAGAGAGAAAACAAGGTACAGAGAGAATGAGGAAGTGAGGGAGGGAGGGAGGGAGGGAGGCACTTGTCTGTAACAGGCAGAGAGAACAAATAATCCTCTCTAAGTCCTTCTCAAACATGGACTTATGTTGAGTGAAAACGCTGTTTGTGAACTTTTTTATAATTGAAATCACAATGATCATTTTACTACAACACAGAGATGGAGACGGTGTTTAATTAACTACTGTCACACCAAGTGAGGCGACTCTGAAATTAAACAGGTGCAGCTTTTATGTTGGTAACCACGGCCTGCTCCTCCACCTGTGGATGCGCCGTGACCTTCGACCTGAAAATACTTTCTCAAATTAACACATCAATACAAACTCTGTCTTTCTTCCCGACCATCACTTGCTGCTGAGCCCTTCACTGTGCTCTTGTTTATCTCTGACATATTTTAAGTGTCGCAACGTGCCGCGCACACGGCCAAAGGTATGAGGACACTAAAGCCCAGCTGATAGTAGATTTTTGAGCCTGATAACGAAGAAATAAGATAACGATATTTTGATCAATATTGATTTCTTAAAACAGCTTCTGCGCTGATTCAGTACTGCACTTTCAAGAGGACGAGATATCCTGAGGTTTCGCTCCAAAAACAGCAGGGACTGCACTTCCCATGATGCAGCTTGATAGCTTTTTCTGTTAGACCCTCCCCCTGCCTGGTGAATTCCCTTGACTTCCACACTCTATGACCCTCGTTCACAGTGCAGGTTAGAAATTTAAATTATTACTTTTTTGCCTTCATTATCATCACTTTATTATCGCCACGGTGAGAGAGAGAGAGAGAGAGAGAGGAGATGGTTGGACTCGAACCTGCAGTTAGGAGTGAGCCGTCATGGTACACAGCCACCGGTATTAATTATACAACTATTACCTCTGGTAGTAATATTTACTCCCATTAACTTTCCCCCTGCATTTTAACTCGCGTAATCAGCGACCCAGACCAAACTCCCACTTCAGTATTTTGTAATAAAAAGGGGTGTCCACACACTTTTGGCCACACAGTGTATCAACACTGTTCTGTATATGAAGAAAACATCATGAAACACTTTCCTCTGCTCCAGTATTTTGTGAAATCTTATCGGGAGCCGAGTGCGCGGCTGCATTCCTGTCTTAAGCCTATTCGTATTCCTGCAAACAGCGATTGGTCGCTGAATGGCGTCTGATGACTGTAACAGGAGAGGAAAGTCACGGAGGAATGCCGTCCGACCGCTCTGCCTCAGCTACTCTTTAATCCTCCTGACACTCTCACTGTGCTGCGTGAGGCAAGACAAACAGACCGGACATTCCTGTTCAATTCAGCGTCCGCCGACGGCCCGGGCGGCGCGTCCGCTCTCCAACGTGTTGAGTTTCAAAAATACACCAACAGCCTCCGTTTGAGATAAACAACAATTAGAGGAGCGAGTCCCTTTTCAGACGAGCGTTCCCGACTGACACTCTCCCCATGTTGTGAGGTGTGGAAGTAGGTCAGGTAGACGGGGTGTTTCCTCTCAGATCCACATTCCTGAGCGGTTGTTTCCATCGCTGCGTTTATGGAGGTGTTAGTGTTTAATGACGGGATGGAATGTGTGATAGTGCTGAAGCAATAACTGAGGTCGATAACAGCCGTTTACTGCGCGATTCGCACCGGCTCAGGCAGCGCTTTCACGTTAACGTGTTGGTTTCTGACCACATGCCGCTGAACAGGGCAAATTCCAACCACGGCGAACGGCAGAAGTCTTAACTCCTTCATCTCTTCTGTGATCGTAGATAAATGATCAGGATAAGACAAATGACAGATAAGAGCTTTAAAGACATTATAGCTGACATCTTCGTTCAATCTTATCTACGAACAGGAGAAACTGTGAGAACATGAGATTTTACACACAAAGAAAGGAAAAGTTGGCGTCGTGGTCAAAGCTCAGGTTTGAAATTCTCCTGCTCCACAGAGTCTCCTGTCAGAAAACCAGAGTGTCCGACTGAAGCCCTGTGTTCCCATCACCCACCTCTGCTTCCATCACAGTTTAAAGTGTAAGGTTATTAACAGACATAAAATAAAAACAAAAATAGAAGTCGACGTCTCGCGCCTGGAGCCCCATTTATGTGCATTTTCATAAAGATTCACTCATTTTAGACTCTGGGAAAATGTGACAGACATTTGTCAATATCTTCCTGATTATTTAAGAAAATAAGTGTCAGATTAATCAATAATGAAAATAATCGCTAGTTGCAGTTCTATTTAAATCCACTAAACTATTTATTTATTCTTTAAAAATCAACAGACTGAAAATGAAAATAAGAAAATAAGTAGCTCTGACTTTCTGAGCTGAATGTTTTACCTTTAAAAAAGCTCATTCCTAAAAGGCTGGGGCCGATATTCAATAATATCGAATATTGCGATATTTCCCGCCTTATGTTTTAATTTTCGTGATATTTTTTTTTATGCAGTGTTGCACAGTTTGCACAAAAAAAGCAGATAATATCATACTTATTTGTAATATTTGGGCTGGACTGCATCAAGATATGACATTTTGGATATCGCCCACATCTAATTCCTAATTAAGAAATATAACATTTTACTACATTAACCTTTAGGAGATGTCTGAGGAGTTACACACTTCACAGTTTTCAGCAGTGAACTGAAGTGGAAGGTGTTTTGCAGGCAGAGGGAGAAGCTGTGGAGACCGAGGGAAGGTCACACTCACACTTACTATTCAAGTCAGACTCTGAGCGTCAGATTAAACCCGGAGCGCTGCTGCTAGCCTAAAGCGCCGGGATCGAATCTGCAGAGTCGAGTCAACAAATACACCTGTCAATACGCCCTTCAGCGAGGACCGAAGCTGGAGGAGCCCGGACCGGAAAAGCTTCCAGAGGTGAATATGAGAGCACATATGAATCACAAACACCCCCCCCGGACAAAGACAGGTGGGACGGTTGGACGTCGGGACGCAGCACTTACTCTTTGAGCGTCTCAAAGCCTTGTTCTTTATACTGCAGCTCCTGCTTCATACAGGCCAGGTCCCGCTTCAGCTTGTTCACCTGAGACACAGAGACCAGAGGGAGGAAGAGAAAATCAGTTTGAAATACTTTATTTTTGTTGACACCCATGAAAAGACAAAAACGTGTCCGTCCGACAGTTTGTGATCTCAGATATAAGCTCACTAGTTCCAACTGAAGACGTACATCTTTAAAAACATCTCATCAATATATAGTTCCAGAGTCAGATAATAAATCAATAAATAAATAGATATGTATAAATTGTCAAAATGAGTGACACCTGTTTACGTGGGTATTTAAAGTTCTTCTTATTAGAAATAGAACTAAAACAACCGTTTTGATCATCTATTAATCACTCAGTCATTCGTCATTCGCCTTCTCTGATTCTCAAATCTAAGGATAAGGAGCTTTCTTCTGTTTCGTATCATTGCAAACTGAATATCTTTGGAGTTTTAGCCCGATATTATTCATTAAATGATTCATTTGCTAATGGACAAACATACAGGTTAATACAGGTTAAGGCTTAATCCAGCTGCAGCTCTGAAAAGACCAGTCATGTTAAGTAGATCAGGTATCAGCCAGACTGTACGGCCGATCCGAGCATGAAAAACGGGTGATGTGGTAGAAAGAGGAAGCAGAGGCTCTTACCCGACTTTTGGCCGTGGCGATCTCTGCCTTCAGGATGTCCGGGTCGTACTTGCTGGAGGAGGAGGATCTGGAATTCACTGCAGGATAGGAAAGAGAAAAAAGAGGCGATAAAAACCTGAACCTTATATCCTCTTCTCCTTCGGTTGTTTCACATGTTTTTGTGAGGGAAAACAGGAGAAATGTGAATATCGGTTCGACTGAGTCTCAAGAGAAAACATCTAATTTCTCCTGTCGAGGCTGAAGAGAGAAAGTACAGCCTGACAAAAGAGGAACCTTCGATCCGCTCTGAGGTTAAGGACCATTTTTCCCCCTCTCCTGTACATTTCTGAAAACCAACAACAGAAACCTCCAAAGCTTTTCTTCCCCTCCCCATCTTCTTTTTTTCCTTCCCTCAAAAGGTCAAAGGTCGGCGCAGTCGAAGCGGTTCCAAATTCTGCCTCATTATTCAGCAAACTTGAAACTATTTTCACCGACATAACACGTCTGCTACTGATCATCTGGTCATGAGGTCATACAGTATAATGTTGTTATTCAATCTTATTCTTATTTTAACTTTTTATTTGTTTTTATTTTTGTTTCCCTTTTATATTAATTTATATAGTTCCTTCATATTGTTTTTCATTTGATCAGATTTTCACTCTCTAATCTTTCTATTAATACTTTTATAATTATTTTAATTATATTTTTTTAAATAACAAAAACATGAAAAAATATATATATTTTTCCTTTTTTTTAACTTTTACTTGCATAATTTTTTTCTGTTTATATATNTAATGTTGTTATTTAATCTTATTCTTATTTTAACTTTTTATTTGTTTTTATTTTTGTTTCCCTTTTATATTAATTTATATAGTTCCTTCATATTGTTTTTCATTTTATCAGATTTTCTCTCTCTAAGCTTTCTATTAATACTTTTATAATTATTTTAATTATATATTTTTAAATAACAAAAACATGAAAAACATATATATATATTTTTCCTTTTTTTTAACTTTTACTTATACCTCTAGTTTTCATTCATTGAGTGATGACAGGTGTAATGAGGGAGCCGGATGTGGCAGAGAAAGTTCTTCTATGTGTAATTGAAGTTTGTGCTTTAATTAATCACTTTTATGTGTGTGTGTGTGTGTGTGTGTGTGTGTGTGTGTGTGTGTGTGATTGTTTGACCCTGAGGAAGACCAGGTGTGGTCGATACGGGTCTTTAATTGTGTGATGATTAACTTTTCTACCTTGATGACGCTACCTGTCTTTATTTTTTCTGGGGATTCTGTTTCCTCTGTATTTGCTCAGCAGAGCATCAGGAGCACCTGTTTGTCCGAGCAGAGCTTCCTCTCTTGTTTCTCTGTTTGCTAGCTCCACTTCACTAAGTGCAAAATAAACGGTGCTCCACCATGTGTGGCGTTTCTCCTCCCTCGGTCTCTCCACGTTACTCACAGCTGGTCTGCGACGTGGACTTGTCCCTCCACGCGTCGTTGAGCTGCCGGTACTCCTGCTGCGCCAGTCGCAGCCTCTGCTCCTTCACCTGGTAGATCTCCTTCTGAGCGCTGAGGGCGTCCCGGGCCACGGCCAGGTAGTCCCGCAGCATGGCCTCCTGCTCCCGCTGCCACTGAGCCCGCGGGTCCTCCAGCTGGGTGCTCTCTGGATGAAGAGAAGGAGGAGGGTTCACAGCTTCAAGCATAACACAGCACGTATCTGAGCCGAGGCACAGGAGCTATCTTCACACAACAGGCGGCGGCAAGAAGAGCAGACAGCGAACTCACTGGTGTTGTGGTCGACATAGTACGCTCCGATGACGGGGTCGTACGCCTCCTCCCAGCCGACCGGCAGCTCATCCCCGATACAGTCAGCAAACGTCAGAGGCTTCGTCTGCCTGAAGGAAACAGAAGCAAGAACAGATTCAGTGACAGAAATCATCTCAACTACAATCACAACATTTATTTATCTGTGTAGTGGTGACTTATGCTTATGCAGCTTACAGGCAATTATTTATTCTGTAAAGGAAACAGCACATGTAGAAAAGAAATGAAGATTTCCTAAAAGGAAATTACAGGAATGTGAAACTGTTAGAACCACAGATGTCATAGAAACGAGTTCATTCCAAGTGGCGCTGGTATTTGAAGCCTCTGCACACTCCCACAACCTCTCAGGTTTATTTAAGTATTTAAGGTGTGTGTGTGTGTGTGTGTGAGAGAGAGAGAGAGAGAGAGAGACCATGTAAACAAACATTGATGAGGTATAATAGGTAAAGAATGTGACACGTGATAATTAATGAAGATGTTAAACCAGTTTTTTACCAGGCTGCTGTCAGGTGTTGATCTCTGGTTGGTTCTGTAGCGCTCAGAGAGCCAATATTAGCCAATAAAAGCACGTTCCACCTCATCAGACTGTCTATTGAAGAGCTTTAAATCAACTGAGTCATCTTGTACAAATCTATATATATTCTATAGATATAAAGCTACACTATCTGGATATTTGTTTGGTGTTTACACTGAGATTCAACAGGATGAAGAGATAAAAATTTGTTAAAATGTTCATTTTCTGAACATCTGTAAGTCACCTCCAACATCTACAGCATGTAATAACTGTGTAATAACACTAGTAAACCCGTGGTCATGCGTCTATAACAAAGGCAAACAGAGCGTGACCCACATTGAACCCTGGTCAGAAGCAGGTCTGAGTAATGACCAGACTAAAAGATGGATTTATCCCGGCTCACTGTGTTAGTGTGAAAGCTGCTCCAGGAGGAGGAGGCTGGGTGAGTGTGGGAGGGGTGGGGGAGTGGGGGTGGGTGGCCTGGTGTTTTACTGAGTCCCTCTATTCACCTCAGAGGGGGATAGAGCAGAAAAGAGGGGGTGGGGGGGGGCTCTCTCTGGCCGGCCACAATAGGAGGAAACCGGCCCGTGGCATTCCACAAGCAGCGCTGACGCATCGCCTGGAGGTTTCTGGGGCAACCCCTCGGCCCTGCAGCGGCGTTACTGCGACCGACCGCACTGCAGCCGTGAGGGTGAAATCAAACTCTCTCTCATTTTGTTTTGATGTAACTGAGCCCGAGTGTTTTCAGAGGACTCGAAGATTTGAATCCTACCTGGATGGTTAGTGATGTTGTTGTTTAGTTTTTTAATGCAACAGCAGAGAAAATCACCATGAAATGAAGAGAATGAGCGAGACGACTTCAGGAATTTATACTTATACGTCTCCTGGTAATTCATATTCATCAGGGCTGAAACAGCTTGCTGCATAAAACTGATACGATCCAGATCACATCTTCTCTTCCTTACACACTCACTCATACACCAGAAACACTTGATGTCTCAGCTAACAGTTTGCTTTTATAGTTTCTCTAACTCATATGATACGACGAGCAGGTTCAGGCTCAAACTCCTCAAATACCTCAAAAATAAGGGATCAATCGTTTTTTTAATCAATCAATCAAATCCAAATCCTTTGGAATCAAATCTTTTTCAGTACTTTCAAAATTTTTGGACAACATGATATTTAAGAATCTAGCTTCTTCTGACCAACGTTAAGAAACATAATCAATCATTTTAATTGTGATTTATGAACCAAATATCAGACAAACTGACACTGACTAACATAAACTACTGTAATTAACTAATGTCTAATGGGGGGCTGTGCTAAAACACAGTGAAAATGATAATTATTCTACTTTATCAAACATTTTCACAAACATATTTACAAAATGCAGCGTAACAGCGGCGGTAGGCCCAACGCTCCACCTTCAACACGAGTTCTTCCTTTAACATGTTTGACAGTAGATAAATATTTAAACAAAGAACCCCCCCCCCCAGTCATTAGTACCCTTCTGTAAATATTGCATTTCGCAGAAGTTTCATTGAGCTGAAGTTTCGGGGGCCGGTCCACCATGTTTGTTGTTATCAACACGTCTGAGTCTCTTTTTTTTTTTAGCTGCCTGTAGTGTCACTGAGTAGTAGTAGTAGTAGTAGAGTAAACAGAGAACATGAATGAATGATCACATGAACATGAGGGATTCACTGGCTGTGGGACTTAATGGATCCAGATCCAAAACGGAACCAATCAGAACCGATTCCTAATTAAAATGAGGTTGGTAAATGAAACTCCCAATCTTTAATTTTCTTTTTAAATTTCCACCGAGACGTCACCTGACAGCCGAGTAAACAAATGTCAGAATAGAGCAGTTACACACACATCATCCCCCGCGAGTTTTCTCCAAAGCGTCTGCAGTATCACATGGGATAAACAAACAAACAAAAGTAAGGAAAACCAGCAGTCAGACAACAAACAGGAGAGTAACAAGCGAGACTCTGCCGCTGCCTCTTGTGTTTCGTGACTGCAGATACACACAAACACAGAAGCGGCGGCTCGCTGCTGAGCAGAGAAACTGAACTGGGTCCTTTTTCAGCTGATGAATAATGAAAGGGGCCCGGAGAAGATCCCCTCGGCTCTGCTCTAAATTTAGACTCAGGAAAGACGGGGAGGTTTCTGCCAACCGCTGATCCCAGAAAAAGCCGGCTGGTTGGCTGGCCCGGGCATCCACATCCCATTATTTGATTCCTCTCTCTCCGCTCACCCACTAAATCCTGTCCTCTAATCGCCGGGCCGAGGGGAGTCGCTGACCTCAACTCGTCGCTCTCTGTCACAGTTTTCCCTCGCAGCGGAGGACCAGCTGGCGGCGGCGGCGGCCCAACCTCCATTTCACTGTCAAGTCATTTAATAGCCACTTGTGGCGCTTCTCACATGCTTCAGTGCTTTTGTGCTCAAACTGCCTGCAGGTGGCTGTGGGAGCCCCCCCCCACGCTGCGAACAGGTACAAAAACTGGGATGACCTGACGCACAAACCACATGAGCACAAACGCCCTGAGCAGCAACTCCCTCCCTGGGTCACGTCCTCGCCGGCTGGAAGGTGCCACTGTCTGATGAAGGCATAAAACTCAGAAAACAGCCAGAGCCGGAAGTTTTCGCGTTGTCCGTCCATCTCATTCTCTTGGACACGATATCTCAGTGACGCCTTGACCGAACTTCTTCAAAGTTGGTACAAACGTTCAATTGGAGTCAAGGACGAACTGATTAGACTGTGGTGGCTAAAAGGTCAAAGGTCAAGGTGACCTCACAAAACACGCCTTGAGGGAATTTCTTCAGATTTGGTAAAAACTTTCACGTCCAAACGTCAATCATGCATTGAGCAACACGCAAGAATACTTTCTACCTCAAAAGAGTCTGGTAGCTGCTGGTAGCCGGTAAACTTAATGCAGTGTTTTCATTTCAGGAATATAACTGATCTTATTAAGGATTACTTCTGAATTACAATGGCTTTTATAAACAACTTCCAACTTCTGTTCCCAGTCTTACATTACAGCCCACTGAATATATTTTTGTTTTGGACTATTGGCCAACCAAAACAGAGAATTTGGAGACATCACTTTGGGCTGATTAAGTTCATTTTTCACTCACTTTTCTGATGTTTTACAGAACAAATAACTACTCAATAGCTGCCAGAGTTTGGATCCACCAGTCCAGTAAATGTAATCCACGTTTATTTTGACAGTTGGACAAAAATAAACACCTAATTCCACTTCCAGTCATGCTCTTATAAACCAGACATAGACGTAGAGTAATGCACTAAATTAACTGCATTTATATAACACTTTTTATACCACAGCACTTTACTATGTGCCTCTAATTTCCCAGTCCACACACACACATCACTGTGTCAACTTGAATCCAGATAATCTGATGCAAATATGTAGCTCGTTTAATAAAAACCAGTCTGATTGGTTAAATATTCCAGGTTTGAGTGTTTAATCCTTTTTATTGCAGTGTCATCTTAGGATACAGGAAAAGGCCAATTAAAAAACATTCACTGACTGACTCGAGGTGGAGTTACAAGTTTGGTAAATTGTCTTTGGCATAGTTTCAGTTTTCACTAATATTTCTGTCAGACTCCTGTCAGTATTAAAACGAGCCGTCAGGACTTCTGGAACTTTGCGAATGTCACAACAAAGCAGTCACATCTCTGAGTCATGCCCCAAGCCCCGCCCACCAGGACCCACCATCCAAACCTTGCAGGATTTGGTTTCTCTGAGGGTTTTACCTGAAATATTCTATATAGTCAGTCTAACAGTCAGCCAATCAGAAGAGAGGCTCAGAGCCTCCTCTCTTCTGATTGGCTCACCAACCTGTTCTGACTACAGCTCCAGAGAGAAGCCTGAGAGAGGAGATGTGAAACTACACTGGGATGGTTTTTATATTTTCTTATGGATCAACACTTCAAATAAAACAAATAATTGATTATCACATCAATCTATAGAGAACTTTTTTGATAAAAGATTAACTGATTTTTCAGTCTCTGACGCCAGCTTCTTAAATTGAAAGATTTGCTTCTTTTTGTCATTTTAAACAACAAAAATATAGAACGGGTTTTGGACAGTTGGTTGGTGAGTGAGTTTCAGCGTCACATGTTGGTCTGCACGTTTTTTAAGAAGCTTATCTGAGGCTCAAACTCTGTGAGGAAAACACTGAACTCTTGTGATGTTCTGGCATCAAAAATTGATTTGCAGGATATTAAATTCTGATTCCATATCGGCTTTTAAAAGCCAATGTCAGCCGAGGCAGCAGAATACACACACACACACACACACACACACACACACACACACACACACACACACACACACCTCCACAGGTTTCACATACCAAGGTAAACAGCCTGGCCGGGCCCCGGCGCTCTAATGCAAACTGACAAAGTGTGCGGCAGAGTGCAAATACACAGGGAGGCGGGCTGCATAGCTGAACGGTGAGTCAGAGAAACGCTCATTCAGAGCGGCGTATACATTCCTCAAGGCCAGTTATGAGGCTTCAAACTACATTTCA